TCTATGCATGGTTTAATGATGGTGTGGCCCTCTAAATTCTTAATTTTTGAACAAGGGGCCCTACCTTTTCATTTTGCACTGAACCTTGAAAAGTAGATAACTGGTCCTGCCTGGGGCTGTTGGCCACAACATCCGCACGTGGCCTTTCCACGTGGCCTCGGCTTTCCCGCATCACGACGGCTGGATTCCAAGTGTGAGTTTCAAGAGAGCGCGCCAGGCAGAAGCAGCATCACCTTTCACGCCCAACCTAGGTCTTCCTCTTAGAGGGGCGTGGCATGGCGTAAGAAGAGCAGGGTGGGCTGGGAGATGCTATCCCGCTGTCTTTGGAAGATGCAATTTGCCACATCTGGTCAGGAGCAGGCCACCTCCACATTTCCGGCCTCAACCTCCCCATCTGCAGAAGGGACCTGGGGGTTCCCTTCTGGGAAAAGGGCCAACAGAGGGGAACTTGATCCTCACAGCCACTCCCAACTGCCTCCATTCTGCGTTGTTTACCAGGTGCTCAGAGGCATTGGAACCAGGGGCAGTGGGGCCAGGAGCCCAGCCCAGGAGCTCTAAAAGTCTACTCCCCTGGAAAGCTGAAACCTCTAAGGAAGGCAGGGACTCAGCACCCTGACATCTGCTTCTCCTGCCGGCATCTCTGCTTGGCTGACAATTCCTCCTCTTTCATTTCTCCCTGGGGCTTGTTGTTGTCTTTCTTATTAGCTTCCCTTCAACTCCCAGCAAGGTCCCTAGACTCTCAGCTCTGCTAATTCCCCTGTAAGCCACTGGCAAGCCAGGAAGCTAATTAAATTGTGAGCTTGTGCGCACGCGCTCTGTCAGTCTCTGCAGCTCTTCTTAGTTTCTCTTCCACCTGTCTCTTCCCTTTATCTTCCTTAGAGATCTCCCTGCCTCTCCTCACCTCTTCTGTCCCGCACTTAGAAGGGCTCTGTGCATGGTTTAATGCTGCCTTTCACTCTGTGGTAGGAGTAATCTTAAATACTGTTCTGAGCCCTAACCCCCTGCGGCAGGATAAACCAAGTTCCTTAGCTCAGCATTTAAGCCCTACAACACCTCACCTGCCAGGCCTCTTTCACAAACCCTTCCCTCTTCAACTGAGCCACATACAGGCCGATCTATGCTACCTCCACACCTTTGCTCACACTCTTACCTTAGACTGGATCCCATTCCCCTAATCCTCTATCAGCACTATGTAAAATCCTCACCATCCTTTTTTTTTTTTTTTAGTTTTTTTTTTTTTCCTTTGGCCATGCTGCGCGGCATGTGGGATCTTAGGTCCCCAACCAGGGATTGAACCCATGCCCCCTGCATGGACACGCAGAGTCTTAACCACTGGACCGCCAGGGAAGTCCCTCCTAATAACTTCTGCATACATCTCATTGACCAGGCCTAGCTGCCGGAGACAATGGGTACATTGCCTCCCTTCAAACTCAAGAGCCCATTCCTCATTTTACAGATGAAAAATTAAGGCCCCGGGGCTTCCCTGGTGGCACAGTGGTTGAGAGTCCGCCTGCCGATGCAGGGGACACGGGTTCGTGCCCCGGTCTGAGAAGATCCCACATGCCGCGGAGCGGCTGGGCCCGTGAGCCATGGCCGCTGAGCCTGCGCGTCCGGAGCCTGTGCTCCGCAACGGGAGAGGCCACAACAGTGAGAGGCCCGAGTACAGCAAAAAAAAAAAAAAAAAAAAAAAAAAAAATAATTAAGGCCCATAGAGGATCAAAGAATTCAGGAGGCCGCAAAGCACAGTGGTTAAGGACTGGGTTTTGGAGCCAGACAGACCTGGCTTTGAATCCTACCTCTGCATTAACCTCTTTATTCCTCATTTGTAAAATTGGGTTAGTGACATCTACTTCAGGGGATGTTAAGAAATTAAATAAGGGGACTTCCCTGGCAGTCCAGTGGTTAAGACTCCATGCTTCCATTGCAGGGGGACAGGTGCGATCCCTGGGAACTAAGATCCCGCATGCCTCACAGCACAGCCAAAAGTAAATTAAAAAATAAACAAATAAATAGAAATTAAATAAGATAATGGGCGAAATGAAAAAGCACTTAACCCAGTTGTCGTTCATTGTCTCAGTTCGGTTTCCCCCCAAAAGCCGACCCTGAGGCAGATTTGGATACAAGTAGTTTATTTAGGAGGTGATCCCAGAAGCAGGGTGAGAGAGTGGGGAGTGAGACAAGCATGAGAGGAAAGCAAGCAAAGCATACAGGGATAAGCAAGCTTTCCCCATGGACAACTTAGGTTCCATTCTGCTGGAGTCTTTCTGAGACTGGAACAGGCCTGGGAATTGGAAGTTGCCCCACTTTCAGAGGGACTGAAAGCTAGAGGATTTATCCACTAATTCTGGGCCCTCCTTGGTGGAGGGTTACCCTGGGGTCGTTAATTCCCCACTTCCAGCCTGCCCCACACTCACGTCCAAAGCTGGGAATGCCACAGGAGAGACACAGGGAGCAAGTTCAGAAACTGTCTGCAGGTGACCTCCGAGTAGGCCTGGGGGCTTGACTGGGGGCTCTGGTAGCATCTGCTACACCCAATGAAAGGAACTTGCTATGAAAATTATCACTGTGCTGTGGTAGGAGCAGACAGGAGCTACAGCCTAGCCCTAGGGCTCTTCTCTGAACCCTGCTGCCTCCTAACTTCATTCCGGTGCACCCGCAGCCTGCCCAGCCTGCCTAGATGCCCACCAGTACATGGCATCCTCCTGCTCTGTATCCCTTTGCCAGTGGCCTCCACCTTGTCCCATCCCTTGAAGCAAAAACCCTGCTGTCATCTGCCTCAGCCACCTGTCTCCAGAGAAATGAAATGAACATTTCATTTCTCTGCTGAAATGCTTTTGTGGACCTAGGGAAGGTGTCAGATGGCTTTCAGCCTGAGACAGACCCCCAGTGGTTTAACTGTTCTGCCCTGAGAGTCCTGCCTTCTTCCCATTCCTCCCACTGTTGGAATCACACCTTCAAAATGCACCTTCAAGATGGCAACCCCGACCTCCTTGTCCAGAAGAAGGCTTGTGGCTGCCGCAGATTGGCTTCCTGCCTTCCCCAGCCCTCCTAGGCCTCCCCCCACACCCTACCTAGGCCTTTTCAGGCTGATGAAGGAGGCAAAAGATGGTCCTGAAAGGCTAGACAGGTGCTTCACCCTCTGTCCCCAAATGCCCCCATGCCCAGGCCGAAACGCCTCCATCCATCCCTTTCTATTGAGGCACATATCGATTCATTTTATTATTCCCTCAGCACCCTGGAGAACACTTAATGAGTTCATCATCACCGTCAACACCTTCAGGAGGACTAACCCATGTTAGATTAACTGGGGTCGTGTAAGTTTTGATAGTTCCAGAAGGAGAGCTCCAGAGGACAGGGGATTTCACGGGGCACCAGGCTTCTCAGAAACCACACAGAGGGTCTGTGGCAGAGCCAGGACTAGAGCTCAGGTGCCTTGAGTCAATCGGGGGGGTAGGCAGAGGGGTCCTGCTCTGGCAGCTGAAGAGTGGGGCTCTTCAAAAGCCATCCATTTGGTCAGCATCTACTGAGAGCCAGGCAGGTCGTCCCCTGCACAGCTGTCAGGACCGCAGCCCCCCCTGAGGTGGTACCAGAGTCCAGAGTGGAAGCCATGGAAGGGCCTCGGTGAGTGCTGCGGTGGGAAGACAGCTGTTCCAGCCCTGGTGTCCTGCCGGGTCCTGCCACCCCGGCCCAGCTAGGCAGGGTGTCAGTGTCCCTCTGCAAACAGGCCCTTGGAGCCCTCCCATTGCCCTTCTCAACCCTCTCCCTCCTTGCGGACGCTGTGGAAGCAGCCTTTCTGCCAACACTCAATTCTGCCCCAAGGACTCCCCTCCTTCCTCAACCCCTCCCCAGGGGGCACAGGCTGACCCTCTGATGTCTGCGGGTTTTGTCTTCCTCCTTCCTTCCTTACCAACCACAGGCATTTTCCGATTTGGAGGTGAGATGTCAGGTCACTGTAAGCCCTTCCTTTACTGGCAGCATTGATCCATTTATCCTTCTCTTCCCTCAGACCCCCTCCCCCGGTGCCACTCAGCTTGGACATCTGTCCCAGCCAGACTCTCACCTTCCACTGTCCTTGCAGTCCAGAGGCTAGTCCAGTCTCTTCTCCCTGCTCCAGTCCCCTCTCCTCAAACCAGGGAGAAGGCTGGTCTGTAGAGTGCCCTGAGCCACCGCTAGGTTGGCCTCTGCCTCAGTTTCCCCATCTGCTAACTTAGATTAATGATGCCTGCTCTCCAGACCCAGAGGATGAAGCTTTAGGGAGGTCACGGAAGAAGAAGAGCCCGGTGCTCGCGCTGCCTGCGCGGGGGGCCTTCTTCGTGCGGTGCCCCTGGGCCCTGCGGCTCGGCTCCCCGGCCTCGGCGCGCCCCTCCCTCTCTCTTCCCCTCCCGCTTCTCCCCCTGCCCGCCCCTACCCCGCCTCTCCTCGCGCTGTCCCGGAGCCTAGCTCTTCAGCAGCCCTTTTTCCCTCGCTGCCCCGCCACCCCGAGACCACCCCGGGGTCCCAGCGCCCCGCCCGCCGCCGCCGCCGCCGCCGGCGGCCCCGCCAGGCCCGGCCCCGCCGCAGCGCGGGCGGTCGGTGCGCAGCCCGGCGCCCGCCCGGAGCCCAGAGCCCGGAGCCCGGAGCCGGATCGCGGGCTCGGAGAGAAGCCGACCGACCGCCGCCCCCAGCCAGGTGAGGGCTACTCTGGGGCGCGGGGAGCCAGGCTTTCTCCTTGACTGGAAGCGTGGGCCGGGGAATTGGGTCCTTTTTCCCTGAAAGGAGGACCTGGGAGCTTTTTTTCATGAAAGAGCCTCAAGGGCTTTTACTCTGAAGGGATGGATAAAGGAAGGTCTGGGGGAGAGAGGGTCTGGGGTACCGTTTTCCGGGGTTTTTTTTTTTTTTTTTTTTTCATGAGAAAGGATTAATTGGCTTCGTCTGTGAAAGGGGGACTTATCTTCTTGGGAGCCTGAGGGGTTTTCAAGGTAGGTGGGGAAGGAGGTTTGGGCAGAGCTTGAGGGACGGGGTGATTGGGAATTGAGGTTTGGTAGGGAGGGGTCTCTAGAATCCCCTTAGCCTGACATGGCTGCACCTCCACCCTCGGTTCCAGGGTTCTGGGTCCGTCCAGCGCACTGTGTCCTAGTTTTTTCTCTTTGAGGATGATTATTTTCAGCCTCACCTGGATGGAGCTAGGAACAGCCATTTCCTTCCCTGGAGCTGTGATGCCCACCTGACACCCGCTACCTCTGACCTGCTCCGGGAAGGGGGTTTAGGGAAGGATGGGGACCCACAGATCTGAGAAATGGGCAGTGGTAGGTGAAATGGAGGCTGGGTACTGGACACACAGGAGGACCCTCTGGCACTGGCAGGAAGGCTTGGCAGGAAGATTACTGAGGGTCGAGTGGGCAGGTGCTCCTGGGGCAAGACCTGCTAGGAGAGCAGCAGTGTCAGGAAGAGTTGAGATGTTCCCAGAAGACAAAAATGTTAAGAATATTTTTCTGGTTGGTTTTGCTTTCTTTCCCTTTCACCCTAGATCCCAAGACTCATTCCACTTCAATTTTTGTGAAAAGTGAAACTGAGGCAGATGACAGGTTGGCTGGAAATAACTGTGTTTAGAATGGAAAGGTGGTGGAGAGGAAAGCACACTGAATTCGGAGTCAACAGACCTCAAGCCTTGCCTCAGTGCTCCATGAGTGGCCTTGGGCCAAAATGCTTCCCCTTTTGGGGCCTTGGCTTTCTCCCCTATAAAACAGGAGAGGGCCCACCTGTCTCGCAGGTTGGCTGTGACACCAGATGTGTCCAAAGAGCTCTGTGAAAGGGACTGCACTGAATACTGTGAGGTGCAATCTTCACTACTGCAATGCCCCCCCTCCCTGCCCCTGCCCTCACCAAGGGTACTGGCTAGCCCATGGGACACCTTTGTAAGAATGAGAAAAGGTACTTCCTGTGTAAGGAGAGAGTGTTCAGCTGGGCTAGGGACTTGGGGGTCTTACTATGAGAATTAGAAAAAGGCACACTTTCCCCCAGGGGCAGCAATTCCACACAGTTGGGCAAGTAGAATGTGGGTTGGACTCCAGCACCCACCTAACCTCAGGTGAACGTCCTGTGTGCAGCACATCACAGCTGCACCTGGCTACCCTTCTTGGCAGGTTCCCGGTGTCTCTAAGAGACACAAAGATACACACACTCCCCGGGCATTTCCCATAGAGGCCCACGGCCTAGACTGTTACCAGCTCATTTTCTTTTCTGCTTTGCCTCCACTTCAGGTCCTCAGGGTATTCAATCCCCAAAGCCTATGCCCTACTAGGAAGCATTATGTAATTCTACCCTTGGAGAGTTAGTCCTCTGAGTTAAGTAGTGCCTTTACCAAGTTTCCAAGGGTAGGAGTTACTGAACCCTAATCCCTTATGTCAAGAACTTGATCATCAACTATACTCCAATATAAAATTAAAAATTTAATTAAAAAAAAAAAGAACTTGATCAGATCAATTTTCTCAAAAAATTGACTGCAGTGCCATCCAACAAAGGTGTTCACACCTGCCTTCTCAGAGCATCCTCACAGTAAGCTTGTGAGGCAGGTCTCCTCCCCAGTTACACAGAGGGAGCCATGGCCAGAGAAATTAAGGAACTTGCCTAAGGTTTCACAGCCTGTAACGGGTAGAGCCAGGACCTGGGCCCAGGTTTAGCTGTCAGTCCTCTCCACTCCACCACTACTACTGAGGAACCAAGCTGCTGACCTCACAGACTTGCCAAAGCCGTGCTGGAATTGTTGCTCTCCCACTCTATCCCCAGCAGCCCCTGGCTCTCTCTTTCCCCTCAGTGACCAGCCCCCAAGCCCAGAGGAAGGAGTCTCTTTCTCTTACTCTGATTTTATAGGGGGAGGGAGCTACCTCAAAGCCCATCTGTTCTGGCCTCTTTAGTGCAAGAAGGGCCCCTGGAGAGTCCAGAGGTCCAGCGTGGGAACTGACCCTTGACTGGGTCAGAGGCCAGGAAATGGGTCAGGGAGCGGCTATTTCCTTTCCTGCCAAAATGGGGGCTTAACCAGCAGCCATCATGGAGGATATCAGTATAGAGAGCCAGTGCCTGAGAGAGGGGCAGGCTAAGTAAGGACCATAGAACAGACACAGGAAAATGCAGCAAATTGGAGGCTGAAGGAAACTCAGAGACCCCCTGACCACCTTCTGCGTTTCCAGGGCCCCTGGGTGTCAAGGAGGAGGGGATGTGTAAGCCCAGCAGACAGGGCTATAGGACCCTCTGACCAGAGCATTTGTGCTTGCATCTATGGTATATGTCTGTGATCTTTCACTTGAAAAAGGAGTTCGGTGGTTACAAAAAAAGAAGAGAGAAAAAAAAAACAAAACCAAAACTGGCCTAATCCAATGGCCCCCAAAGTGTGGTCCCTAGACTAGCAACATCTCTGCATTACCTGGGAACTTGTTAGAAATGCAAATTCTTGGGCCTCATACTAGATAAGGTGGGGGTGGGAGCCAACAGTGTGTGTTTTAACAGGGTCTCCAGGCGACACTGAGGCCCCATGACGTTTTAAGAACCACTGACCTAGTCCAAGTGTGTAGGAAACTAGGAGTCCTAGTTGTGGGTCAAGGGCGGGTCTGTGAAGGGAAACCGTCTCCAGGCCGCCCCTGCCCAACCCTTGTCTCCTTTCCTTCGTGCCTCCCCTCCCAGGCGCCATGCTGCCGCTCCTGCTGGGCCTCCTAGGCCCGGCTGCCTGCTGGGCCCTGGGCCCGGCTCTGGGCTCGACAGAGCTGCGCTCAGCCTTCTCGGCAGCACGCATCACCCCCCTGGAGGGCACGTCGGAGATGGCGGTGACCTTCGACAAGGTGTACGTGAACATCGGGGGCGACTTCGACGCGGCCACCGGTCAGTTCCGCTGCCGCGTGCCCGGCGCCTACTTCTTCTCCTTCACGGCTGGCAAGGCCCCGCACAAGAGCCTGTCGGTGATGCTGGTGCGAAACCGCGACGAGGTGCAGGCACTGGCCTTCGACGAGCAGCGGCGGCCCGCCACGCGGCACGCCGCCAGCCAGAGCGCCATGCTGCAGCTCAACTACGGCGACACGGTGTGGCTGCGGCTGCACGGCGCCCAGCAGTACGCGCTCGGAGCACCCGGCGCCACCTTCAGCGGCTACCTGGTGTACGCCGACGCCGACGCGCCTGCGCGCGGGCCGCCCGCGTCCCCGGAGCCGCGCTCGGCCTTCTCGGCGGCGCGCACGCGCAGCCTGGTGGGCTCGGACGCGGGCCCGGGGCCGCGACACCGGCCCCTAGCCTTCGACACTGAGCTTGTCAACATCGGCGGCGACTTCGACGCGGCGGCTGGCGTGTTCCGCTGCCGCCTGCCCGGCGCCTACTTCTTCTCCTTCACGCTGGGCAAGCTGCCGCGCAAGACGCTGTCGGTGAAGCTGATGAAGAACCGCGACGAGGTGCAGGCCATGATTTACGACGACGGCGCATCGCGGCGTCGCGAGATGCAGAGCCAGAGCGTGATGCTGGCGCTACGGCGCGGCGACGCCGTCTGGCTGCTCAGCCACGACCACGACGGCTACGGCGCCTACAGCAACCATGGCAAGTACATCACCTTCTCCGGCTTCCTGGTGTACCCCGACCTCATCCCCGCCGGCCCGCCCGGCCTCGGGCCTCCGGAGCTCTGAGCCACGACCCGGAGAGGAGCCCCGGGCGGCCAGGGGCGTGCATGCCAAGCCGGGACCGCGGCCCGAAATGTCCCGCCGGCGCGAGCATGACGGCCCGCCCAGCGTGGCTGGACTCTGCGAATAAAGTGGGCCTGCGCCGGCGCCTGTCTGCCGGGGTCCTGCGCTTTGTCTTGACTGCAACGCTTTTGTCTCGGGCGGGGCGGGAGGGACTGACTACAGCTGGCCCCGGGTGGGGGCCGGAGGGCAGAGGGCAGCATTCAGTCAGGCCTTGGGAGGGCAAGGAGGTGGGAATTTGATTGAACCCTACTTGCCTAACCCCGATTTGGGCCTCCCCTTCATGTCCTATTCCAGTCAGTCCCTGTAATTCCTCCCCGTTGACCTACGACGTTACTTTTAGGGCCCATCTGGTTCTTTTTTGTGACAAGGGACTTCACCCCGCTGCCTCACTGGGGCTATGGGATTCAAGGAAACGGTACATTCCTTTTCCCAGTAGGGCGTGCGCATGGGACAAGCAGTTGATATCTGGTTGCCCTGATTCCTGCCCTCCCGGGATGAGGAGGGTGGTTTGCTCAAGGCACTGGTTAAACAACTTACTCTGAAAACAGAAGCACACAGGGCTGCAGGAGGCTAGAACAGAACATTTTATGGGATGAGCTACACAGGATCAGGACTACACCAGCCAGCCTCAGTCCCCTTCCAGTCTTACTCCCTCCTCTGAGCCTTGTCGATATGGACCAAAAAACACTTCTCACTTCCCTGCCCCCCAGAAGATAATGTTCCTCCACCTGCTTCCCTCCATTCCTCCAACAGACTGACCTAAAAATGTACAGTCTATTCTCCTAGCCCACATGGGGTACTTACTTGGAGGCTTAGGGACCCCCAGAGCCTTGGTTGGGTTTAAAAGAGGTGTCTACATTAGGACTGGGCACTGAGCACTTACGAGTTTCCTGTAGATTCTGCCTTTCATGGGACTGCCTGGGTAGGAGTTGGAGGGTCTGACCTAGCCTTACTTGGGAGCTTCCCTTTCAGCATCCCTTAAACACACTTCTCAACCCTGACCCCTACCCACCCACCCCCCCGCCCCCGCCACACACACTGCCTGCAAGTCCTGCCCTTAGGTCTGTGCCTGCTGCCTGGGACCCAGAGCCTGGGCCCAGGGAAGAAGATGGGGGAGGGGTAAGCTGGGGTCTGGGGTACAAGCCGAGCCCAGAGGCCCGAACACAGTGGGAAAAACCAGGTGCCAGATGGAGGCCCCTGGCCAAGATGGGTCTGGCTCAGGTAGGGGGCGGGGTGGAGGGGGCTGGGGTGGGAATGACAGGCAGAAGGGGAGGGTTAGGGGAAGGGGTCAAGGGTAGAGGCTGAGGGCCCCAGAGAAGGGGGCTGGCCCTGGGGGCAGAAGCCCTTGCACAGGTCCCAGAGTGTTTCCTGTGCCAGGAGGACGAAGACCTGGGCCCAGCGACCTCTCTCCTGAGCCTCACTAGCCACAGGGAGCCGGTAGACACAGGACAGGCCTGTGAGGAGCAGATGTTCAAAGTCCCAAGGGCTAAGAGGGGGTCCCTTCCGCAGGTCCTGGAACTGCTGCAGCCGCTGCTCAGCACCCTCCAAGTCACTGGGCACATGGTGCTGCAGGAGGAGACTGAGCCGGCGGCCGGGACGTGTGGATGCCAGTTCCTCGTCCTGGATGTGCAGCTGCCCCATGATATCCAGCTCCAGCCCAGACCAGAGCAGCTGCAAGGGGAGCCATGTAAGGGGTGGGCTGGGGCCTAGGGAGCGGGGCCGGGGGGGCATAAGCAGGCAGTAGGACCCATGCTGGGTTGGCTCCCCTCCCCAAGCGGCCCCAGCTTGAGGCATCCCCCTTCCCAACCCTGAGCTTAGGGACATCTGGACACTCCCACCCCCATGTCCCAGGCTGGAGGAAAGACCTCAAACATCACTTCCGGGGCCTCTGGCTCCTGCAGGCCACCTCCCACGTTGGTGCTGTCCATGGGCTGCCCTGGGGCAGCAGAGAGGAGTCAGGGCCCTGCCAGGCTCCACCCTGAACACCCCAACCTCCCACGAGTCCCTTCAGGCTGCCTGGTAGGGGTGCCTAGAGGTTCTTCTATCTACAAAAGAACAGGAATGCCATCCCATGTCCACCTCCCCCTACACACATATGCACATTGACATTCACTCTCTCATTCACAAGGCATAGGTCTTGTGATCCCAAAAGCATCATCCCAAACGCAGATACTGTCTTGGCAAACGTCCAGGACTCCTCCTTGAACTTCTACAGTTCACTTGGCCAAGGGCTCCAGGCCAACGGGTCACAAGACACTTCACTTCCCATTTCTCCTTCCTATATAATCATCTAGGGACAGCGTGACCTGAAACTGCCAGTGACCCTCCCCAAAGATCAAGGACCCCTTTGAGAAGAACCTATTTCTTTCCTGCTTCTCGGTAAGTGACCGTGTGCAAGGCAGGGAGGCCAGGCAAGGCAGGATGTCTGTTGCAGCTTCCTTCACCCCTCTTCTGGGGTGCTGCCTAACCCTTGGAATGATTGTCCTAAGCCCAGGGCAGGTTAAGAGGTCCTCCTTTGCACACCAGCCAGAATAAGCCCCAGGCCCATTGAGAGCACCTAGGGCTATCTCCCCTCACTTCACCCCGACCCTTCTGGTTCTGGATGGGGCCCACACCTTTCCCTCCCCCACCCCACAGCACAGGTCAGCCTGCTACCCGTCATGCCCTCAGTTCCTAAGCCCTGCTAGGCTCAGATAGGACCAAGTGTAACTGCTGTCAGCCAGCAGCCTTCCTTGGCTCCTGTCCACCCCACCCTAAGGCCCCGTACCTGCACGGTGCTGGGTTGTAGTCACCCCAGGGAGGAAGCAAATGGCTACCATTAACCAAGCCAGGAACTGCATCGTCCCAGCCGTGGCCCACCACGTCCTCTGAGTCTTATTCTCCCCGGCTGCTCTCTGCACCTCTGTCCGCCTGCCACACACCAGGGCTCCAACTTTCCACTGCAGGCTCCAGCCGTTCCCTGCTTTGTGTATCATTCTTCCGTGCTTAACAGGGAGGGGCTGGCTCTGGCTTCCTTGGGGCTCTTTCCATCCCACAGAAATGTGGAATCTGTGGTTGTTGGCAGTAAGAGCCTGGCTCCTGGCTTGTCAGGCCCTTAGCTTATTCCTGCCCAGATGGGCGGGATGCTTAGTTAATAGGAAGAACGTGTTTGGTAGCAAACAGCTCTGACTTAGCCCTCCGAAAAGGTAGGCAAGAGGGGGGCTTCCCTGGTGGTGCAGTGGTTAAGAACCCACCTGCCAATGCAGGGGACACAGGTTTGGGTCCTGGTCTGGGAAAATCCCACATGCCGCGGAGCAACTAAGCCCGTGCACCACAACTACCGAAGCCTGCACGCCTAGAGCCCGTGCTCCGCAACAAGAGAAGCCACTGCAATAAGCCTGTGCACCGCAACAAAGAGTAGCCCCCGCTCGCCACAACTAGAGAAAGCCTGCGCGTCGCAACTAGAGAAGGCCCGCGCACAGCAACGAAGACCCAACACAGCCAAAAATAATTTTTTTTAAATTAAAAAAAAAAAAAAGGTAGGCAAGAGCCCAGGCAGTTACACTACTATCTGTCGTCACCCCCAAAACATTCTGCAGCTGAGTCCAGCCCCCGACACCCAGTCCAGCCCAGCCCAGTCCGGCCCAGCCTCCAGGGAGCCCCTCAGTAGCCAAGAGCAACAGCTGCGAAGCCTGGTCTTCCAACTGCCTGGTGTGCTGGCCGAGCGGCCCACTGACTGACAGGCAGAGAAACACGCCCACCTCAGGCACGCGGCCAGGGGCTGAACAGACTGCACACTGGCCGGGTGCGGAGTGCTGCTTCCTGGCAGACAGACCTGCAGCTCCTGATTGTCTTTTGCCCCAGACTGGGACCCCCTTTGCTTGCTTACAGCATTCTCGGCTCAGGCCAGAGTGCAGGAAGATTCCCTTAGCCCAAGCATGATGGGCTGTCAGCTTGCAGGGAGCAGGACACAGGGTTCAAAATGAGCTGAAGCTCTTCCTGGCTCTGACTGTTGGCCCATAGAACCCTGCGATTGTTTACATAGCAGGAGGATGAGGGTGGGCGGAGGGTGCCCTATTTCCACCCAGGCCCCTGGAGCCGTCAGCTGCCGCCAGACGGTATGCTGTGACAAGGGGCTTTCTCCAGCAGTTGTTGAGACCCCTCCAATTCTCAGGAGAGGCCCTGCCACACCCATCCCGAGCCCTGTGGATTGTGAGAACTTTCAATTTCAGCTCCAGAATCTCTCTCTCAGAAGTATATCCAGGGCTTCCCTGGTGGCGCAGTGGTTGAGAGTCCGCCTGCCGATGCAGGGGACGCGGGTTCGTGCCCCGGTCTGGGAAGATCCCACATGCCGCGGAGCGGCTGGGCCCGTGAGCCATGGCCGCTGAGCCTGCGCGTCCAGAGCCTGTGCTCCGCAACGGGAGAGGCCACCACAGGGAGCGGCCCGCGTATCACAAAAAGCACACAGGAAGTGGTGAATCTAAGTAGGATTTTATTTACAGGGACGCTCAATGATAGATATGGCGCTTTCTAGGATACACATGCCTTCCCTGAAACTACTTGGTTTCGGGGTTCTTGTCTCCAGCTTCAAGCCTGAGACTCTCAGGGGGCTGGCGATAGGCAGGGAAAGTCTCCCAGGGGCTGTTCAGATCAAACCTGCGGAACTCTTGGGCCAACTCCACTGGCTCGGCCACCACCCGCTTCACCTCATCGTCATAGCGTAACTGCAGAAGAAAAAGGCAGGCTTGAGCACTAAGGAAGACCTTGCTACAGCCACTAAAGGCCCACTTTCCCAAAGCCTTCCTCAGCCCCTTTACTTCTCTGTCCTTGACTCCTATCCCAGCCTCTGTAAGTCTCCATCCTCATCTGTGTTACCCATCAGATCACAACCCAAACAGTCTAAAATGGCCTCTATCTCATGCCCTGCCGTCACCCAGGCAGGCCCCCCTGCCCACCATCCCCACATCAGGAGCTCTGAGCTCCTTTTCCACCAGAACTGACTTTGCTCACCCATCCACACACTCTTTTTCTTTTTTGCTGCACTGTGCGGCTTACAGGATCTTAGTTCCCCAACCAGGGAATGAACGTGGGCCCATGGCAGTGAAAGCGTGGAGTCCTAACCACTGGACTGCCAGGGAATTCCCTCAACACACTCTTACAAATTGACAGTAAGCGTTTTCCCATGATGAGGGAGCAAGTCAGTGGCTGGAAACAACAAACCTAAGCTGGCAAGCACTCAAGTTCGGGCCCTGTGGCCTTGGCATTATCACTGCCAAGATGCAAGGCAATACATGTGGCATGGCTTTTCTTGTTATTGGAAGATCAGTTGGATAAGGTAAAGACAACTGGGTGCAGGGAATGGGACCATGCTAAACTAAACACTAAAAAAACAGGAGCATTTGGGTATGAAGTGATGGGCTGGATTGCCACTATCCCAACATTTCTAAAAAGGTACTTTGCTACAAAATCACGTGTGTGTGTATATAATAAACCATCTTCCTGCTAATAACCTGCAACATTTTGCAATCGTAAAGTAAAGCACTGAAATTCTTTATAAGGCTCTTACAGGCAACTGTTACTGGTCTTGCCTCTGGCCATTCTCAAGGGCTGAACATGTAGTGTCTTGCCTTCCCAGAGATCCAGGGCAGGGTAAAAAGATACTCCACTTTCAGATCTTGGTGACAAACTGTGTCCTTAAGTCTGCCTTGGTCATTAAAATGACCATTAAAATAATGGCTAACATCAACTGAACATTTACAATACTCCCCTTTTAAACATACATCAATTAGTTTTCTGCAAATCTACTATTGTTAAGTACTATTATTGTCCCTATTTTGCAGATGACAAAACTGTGTCAGAGTGGAGCTAGGATGGAATCCAGTACTGATGCTCTTAAGCCACCACAATCCAATGGCCATAATTCCTGCCCAGGATCTCTACCAGGTCCTCCCTGCCCAGACTGCTGCCCAGTTCCAAGGCTCCTACCTCAACATAGCCAGACAGGGGGAAATCTTTCCGGAAAGGATGTCCCTCAAAACCATAGTCTGTTAGGATCCTTCTTAGGTCAGGGTGGTTAGCAAAGAAGACTCCAAACATGTCCCAAATCTAGAAAAAAGAGGCACTCAGGCAACCAGCCATCACAGCCAACACAGGGTGAGGGGCTGCACTGTATCCAGTAATTTCAATCAGTTCTGCAACTCCAGCCCAGAAGTGGGTCCACCACGTCCAGTAACTCACCTCCCTCTCATACCAGTTGGCTGCCTTGTACACAGACACAGAAGACTCAATGGGTGTCAGCTCATCTGTATAGGTCTTCACACGGATCCGGGAGTTGAAACGCAGAGAGAGCAAGTTGTAAACAATCTAGGGAGAATGGAGGGAGCTGGAGGACCAAGAGGACCACAGGCTGAGGGGTCTGGGACAGAAGTCCCTGAGTGGGAGCATAATAATGAGGATACAGGGTGGGTTAAAGTTCCACCCTGTGAACCTGCCTTCTGTCCCGAAGTTCAAAACCTCAAGATGCTCTTATACTTGCAACTACTTCCAAAGGCCTAAGCCACACTATAGCTCAGCCTGTCAGCATGCTTGTCTTTGCTCATGCTACTGGATGCCTCCCGACCTGCCCTCCCTCACTGGGCTAATTCCTGGTCTCCTAGTTATCCATTAAGATTCAGCACAAACTTTCTCTCTCCCTTCATAAAAGCCTCCTAGACAGGGCTAAGTGCCTCTCCTGTGTTCTTATAATATCCCATGAATTATGTTATTACAGTAAACTGTTTTATGTGTCCTTCGTCCTCACTAGAGTGTGGGGGACTCCTGGAGGGCAGGTACTGGGTGTTATTTCTCTCTCAATCCCAGGATCTGGCAGAAAGTAGATGACCATACTAACAATAACAATAGCTATATGTATTGAGAACTTATTGTGTGCTAGCAGTCTACCTGTACTATCTCATTTAATCCTCACAACCACCCTATCAGATAGGGTGGTTTTACACTTTTTTTGTACTTACTTTGCACATAAGAAAACTAAATTCAGAAAAATCAAACAAAATGTTTGAAGCCACACAGCCTACTAATGGCAAAGCTACAATTCAAACTCAAAGTCTGCCTGATTCCGAGGCCCTGGTTTAACTGCTGTGTTGTATTGTTTGACCTGAACAGAAACTAAGGAGGCTATAGTTCCCAAAGGTAGCTATCACCCTAAAACTGTTCTGTCCCCTTTCCCTCCTTTACTCTCCAAACCTCAAATCTCCTGACTGACCTCAAAACGGTTCTGCCGGGTGGGGATATCCACCGCTGTCAAGTCAGCCAAGGATTTGAATTGTGCATTGGTGTGATCCCTGAGGAAAGTCAGCACTGGGATGACTCCATCAGGATGGATACAGATCTCTAACTCATTGAAGCAGGACACCTGCAGACGTGGAACAGGAGAGGAGAAGGAACAAAGTTACAGAGAGAGCAGCTAACTTCAGCTGGAGTCTCCTGATTAAAGGCAGAGAAAAAAGACCAAGTTGGGATGGAGGAGTCTCTGGTTTGATTCCAGGCTGCCCACTCCCACATGCCCTAAGAACACAGTTCTTTCTTTCACTGTTTTTTGGGTTTTTTTTTTGGCCGTGCCACGTGGCACGTGGGATCTTAGTTCCCCAACCAGGGATCGAAAGTGCGGAGTCCCAACCACTGGACCGACACGGAAGTCTCAACATGGTTCTTTCTTGACCCAAACCCGAACAACAGTAGTGAATATTACCTGAACTTGTTGAACATACTTGGGCAGGATTTCAGCCACATACTCTCCAAAAGCTGAGAGCTGCTTGTGGGCCACATCATTCTGTGGTCTGACAGTGGCTGGAAGGAGAAGGCATATTTAAGAAAGGAAAGTAGAAGGCAGCAGCCAGCCCTGCATTCAGTCTCTTGAGCTTGTAAGGGGTGCTGTTTCCCAGTCAGGACTCCCTGCAGAACCTTGAGAAAGGTGAAGTGGAAGCTTCCTCTTCCATGGAACAGGAAGTGATGAAAACATAGGGAAAATGCCACCTACACAGTCCACAAAGACTCACCTTATTACTGCAGCTGGGGTGTGTGACCCTTTTCAAAACTACTCCATGGTTCTTCCTTCACAATGCCTGCATTTCTGCTAAAAGCAGCATATGTCTCAGCTCTATTACCACACTAGAAGCTCTTTAAGTGTGAGAATCAGA